TGAGTGTGAGACTTTGATATTAGAGAAAATGAATATTGATAAAGTTTACCTTTATGTACAGAATCTGAATATCGCAAAATATTTTTAAAAAATTGCAATAATATCGTATCGTGGGATGTATGGTGATTCCCACCTCTAAATATTACAACAGGTGCCTTAAAATAAAAGTCAAAATTGCCACAACACAAAACTAAACACGGTTTAGACGCTTTAAGATAAACTGGGTTCTTCAGCAGTTCAGTAATATATAAACTTAAGATTAAGGAGTGGTTGTTGAGTCCCAAATGTAGGCCCACTCTGAAGAAGAATCCCATAATGCAACATGACAGTGATTTTCATCCACTGTGACTCAGGCCATCTCTCTGAAATTTATAGTCTCAGATTTCAGGCTGAGATAAACCTAATGACATCATTATGACTTCATCTATTCTTCACAACAGAACCTCCTCCTGCTTCAAACCACTTCATTTCCACAGTACTGATTGTGGTGCTACATAGTATTTAAACAGTGAGTAAAACCAATGGAGGTTACGCAATTAAACATGAGTTACAGTCCAATCCATACTCACAATCTCCTTAATGAAGTTTGTTACTTTACTAATCTATATTGATTTTTTAACACAGGATCAATACGTTCAATTTTACTCTCTTGAAATAGGTAAACATGCGCTGGTAGTTTGTTCACTTTGCATAATTATAATAAACTCTTGGTATCTTTACTGGTTTGACCAGCTGGCTGCCTGGTCAGCTGTCCTGTTATAAGAGTGTTCACTTTAAAGCTCCACTGATGTTTGGCAGTGTGGCTCACAGACTCTGCTGCAGAGTCCGAGAGAAACAAACACTGACAAATATTAAAATGTTTGTTTAAACTTGGGCAACTTGGTGTATTTGAACAGATGGAGTTACTTCAAAAATGATCATTTCTGTAATGATGACTGTTAATGACAAGAATCAAACCTGCAGACCGCTTCACAATTGTGTATTAACACAGTTTGAATGAATAACCAGTATTTGCGTCTTTGGGAACAAGTGAAGCTCGTACAGATCAGCACAGCCCTTCAGTGAATATGATGTGAAAACAATACATGTCTTTCTTTCGACTGAATGCTGTGAGTGGAAGCCTGAGCAGAACCGGGCCAGTCAGAAGCTACAAACTTACTACACGCTGGATTAAAGCCAAGCCAGCGAGAAGTCCCCGGGGACCAGCCTGGGCCTCCGACGCAGCCGCCATGACAGCGCTGTGTAGCCTCTCTGTAGCTTACAGCAGCAGGCTTTGTCTCCGTTATGTGAAGTTTAAACCAATCAGAGGAGCCCCACAAAACTCTGGAAACTACACAAAAAGCTGGAATGAAGGATTGATTTAAAGCCCGTCAGATCCAAACTGGTGCCAATATTTTGCAATGAAAAAATCTCGTGTAACTATATCTGATGTTTTTTCTTAGAGTCCTTAGAAAGGTACAGTTAATAAAAAAGATCCTCGTTTAATTTCCTATTTCATTTCAAATTCTTTGCTCAGATCAGCAAATAGCTGACATGGTCCAATATATCGGCCGGGCT